TTCTACGTACTGTTGGTCGTCGTATGTGAGACCTCTGGCTAGACAGGCTTGCTTGTTGGTTGCGTGCTGGACACCGTCGGCAATGTAGAGGTCTCTGAAGTTCGTTGGTTCTTTGACGTGGAACAAAAGCGTGCGCAGGAAGAAAAGTTCTGGCTGGGAAACGAATTTGACTGGATGTACGCGACCAATTCTGCTGCAAGCATTCACGTTCTTCTGCCAAGTGCTCGTCTGGCCAATCCATCGGTAGTGCTCCGGCATTTCATGGTAATAGTGGTAGGTGACTGCCTTTCCGTTCGCTTCGTCTTCTTTCAGCGCGGTGTTATGGCGGAAGTAAGCCCTTAAGGTCGATCCCTTCTGTCCAATATCGGCAAGGTCAACTGGCGTTTGGTCCAAGTTAACGCCATCTTGTCCGGGTAGGTGAATGTTAAGTCGAACGACGGTGTGGCTTTTCGCTTGGATCTCGAAATCCTTGAATAGGCGCCAACATGCTTCAACTGGTGAGATATAGCGAGCTTCCACGTACTTCTCCGGCTCGTTATAGATGATCGTCTGCTGGTTTTCGACGGCCTTTATCGTAGCACAATCATGGCCATTGTAGATGTACTTGTAGAGGTATTTCACCGGTCCGATGCTGCCGACGAATTCGACATTGATGTGGCATTGATACTTCTTGAGCAGGTAGGCGTTGTACGGGACGACGTGGCGGTTGTCTGTGGTGACGCGCTGGCCTATGCAATCTTTCCTGTAGATGGCTTGCTCATGCGAGAATTCTGGGTTCATTGGATCCAACAACGGATTGTAGCGTCGGCGATACCTCGGCTTTTCATCGTCCACCAGCGATGTCATGTCTTGATGTTCCATTGGAATCCCCATCTGCACTGGTCTCTTCCATGTTTGCTGATCATGCACGGAGCGCTTGGGTTCATATCACCACACGGGTTATGGATCATCCATTTCGAGATCAGTTCCTTGAGTTCCGGATCATCTTCTGGAATTTCCGCCGAGATAAAATCGTCAAGTTGGTCAGCGCTATGAATCTTGTCCGCTGGCGACATAATCACTAATAGGTGCATGTGCGGTAAACCTCGCTTTTGGAACTCGATGGTGAAGACGTACGCGGATGCTCTTCCAAAGATTTGATGCGTCATAATGTCTTCGACGATTTGGCGGAACTTGAGACGTGCGACTCTTGCAACGATGTCTGGACGGATTAAAGCCAACAGGCTTTCCGGAATTGCGGCGTTGAATTCATTGCGTATCGCTGACAGGAGTTCAGGCCACTGCGGATTGCAGGTAACGGTGATAAAAAATTCGGGCGATCCAAATCTTCGCACGAATGCCATGGAGTCTTCGAAATTCTCGGTGTACCAGCGCGTTGATCCGGGAAAAGATGACGGTAAGATGGTTGTTTCGCCAATTGCAGCATCTTTTTCTGCAGCCAAGCTTCTGAGCATGTTGTGAACTCCGGCGTATTTCTCGGCTTGAATTTCACACTGATGGCTCTTTATCCACTATATGCGATCTCTTTCGACGCGAATGTAGGTGTCGACCACGTATTGCTGGAGTAAGCGTCCGCCAAAGTGAAGTGCATTAAACTCGACCAATCGTTGATCTATTCCTGCATTTGTGCAATCGATCGGGAGTGGCTTGGCATAATTCGGACGGTAGGCGAGTCGGTAACAGGCTAATTCTGCGCGTGTAACATGATTTCTTGATGGATAAGGCGTGTGCAGCGGCATTCCAACATAGAATCCAAAAGTTCCTCTCGGGTAGAAAAGCGGGGAGGTAAAAGGCTCGACGCGACCATCGATGTTGCTTAGCTGCGTGATTTTTTCCCCGCGTTCTCGCATGACAATTTCATTCTCTGGGATGCTTTGATCGGCGTTGAGAGTCAAGACTGCGGCTATTTCGTTTACAACTGGTGCATTGAATCGTCGAGGATCGTCGCCTTCACGGTTTGTAAAGACGAGGTGGGCATTGGGCGGTTGTACTCCGGCTGCGATTGCGCGTTAGTTGGTTTCTTCGATCACTTCTCTCATCATCATAAACGATTGGGCGAACGGGTTGCTAAAGCGCATGATCTCCTCGAGTAGTTGCAATAGTTCTTGGCTTAACTCTCGGTTGAGCTCAGATCGCGCAGCTGTAGCCGCGTCCGGGTCCATGAAGTACATTTGGGCAAACTTCGGCTGTTCAAATCCAACTTGCGGGTCTTGAGTCGAGCGCGTTGCCAGGTTGATAGGTTGATCTTGTGATGGACTTGACCGCCGGCGATAAACGCGTAGATTCCATGTTGATTGACGGTTCTGTCGTCGTCGACTTTGAATAAGGCAAGTGCAAAGCAGTCGTCGATGTCGCGGATCCTTCTGTGGAATTCTTCCAATAGGCGGTGTTGTCGTGCAAATAGAAGCGCTAATTCGTTTGGAAATTCGGGCTTTGGTAGTTTGATTCTTCCATGTAAGCAGCAGTCGCCAAATGAATCTACGTGTATTTTGTTCCTCACTCTTTCGTCTGGGAAATGCAAAGCGCCATCGTGGAT